AGAGCAAATGTTTTGAGAATGATGAAGGCAATGAATGTACAAATGTGCTTTACACAATTGATGTATGTATGGATTGTGATAAGAGTTGTATGAGCCGCTAATAAAACAATTAAAAAAAAGTATATGATATGTGAATATAATATAAAGAAAACTAATAAAAAGAAGAAACCAAACTTGATCAATGGTTACCATGGGTGAATGAGGAAGAGTTTTTTCTTAGGGGGTATTGAGTTTATGTTAATGGGGGTAGAATAATTTGGAAAAGGCTACCAGTAATGGTTGTACAACATGCAGAGTATAATCAATGGCACTCAATTATACATGTAGAAGATGTTGAATTGGAGAATGTTTTGTTGTGTATATTTTTAAATTGAAAAAAACAACATAAAGTAATGAGTACAAGGAAGAAGAAAATGTTCTACAACTGATTATAGTAATGATTGTACAACTCTTGATGTGATTGAACTACTGAGTTGTATAATATGTGGATGGAGTACCATAAAACTTAAAAAAAAAAAAGGAAAAAGAAAAGAATGATGGTAGGGAGCAGTTCCACTCCTTCCTAAAGGGTGACTGTGAGTCAGAATTACTATAGAAGGCAGTGGGTTTTTATACATGCTTCCAGTATTTTTATGCAAACAGGATTTAAATTCTAAGTACCCTTCCCTTTTACACTGCACACATACTTTTTATTGGTGGAGACCTACCTGAAGGTCAGACTCGATGAGAAAAACGCCCAGGGCGATGACCGCATCCCTGCGCCTCTCGTCCAGCTGAAAGACCCCATGAAAATCCACAGGGCACATGCAGAGCAACTTCTGGACCTAGAGAGGAGCAAACCACAAAACGTTAGAGACCTGCATTCCAGGCACAGCTGCACTACCACAGCTCAATGAACCTAGAAAGCCACACTCCAAACACAGCTATACTACCACATCTCAACGAATCTATGTAACTCACATCTCAGAGGAGCAAATCACAAAATGTTATAGATCTGACCTCTAAATACAGCTGTGCTCCCACAGCTCAATGAATCTATACGACACACCCCTCCTTGGAGAGAGCAAACCACAAAATGCTAGAGACCCTCTCGCCCCTTCAAATACACCAGTAGTACCACAGCTTAATGAACCTATGTAACCTACCACTCCCCCCACCCCCCACTGAAAAGATCCAAAAACTATATATCCAGCTCTAGAAATGACGGCCTAGCTCTGGTGGTGTAGTGGTTATGCATTGGGCCGCTAACTGCAAGGTCCACAGTTCAAAACCACCAGTTGTTCCAAAGGAAAAAGGCAGGGTTTTCTATTTCTATAAAGAGTTACAGTCTCTGAAAAACTCACAGGGGCAGTTCTACCCTATCCTGGAGGGCTGCAATGAGTTGGAATCAACACACCACACCACACCTACCCAGCCCGAGGAGCCTGGGCGCAATGGAGGACCAGTACTGACCACTCCGGAGGAAGGACTGTACCAGTGT